GGCTGCCCGGCTAAAATATTTTCAAAATAGACCGATCTCCTATTACCTGGACTGCGCGCGTCGCTTGTAGACTGCAGGTGAGCGTCCAATGAGAAGCAAGTTTGTGACAGGCTTGCGTCATATTCTTATTCAGGGGCCATTTCAGAATTAATTGTTCCTTCTTTCTTTGTAACGTGTAATTCGACAAAGAGCAAACTAATACTTTACGTATTACTTGAACTCACAGGTGTGTCGTTTAAGGCTATGTTAGATTATACTTGACATATTCCTTTGCAATTTCATTGAGCGATGTTGCCGGATGATACATTTATCAAAATAAAAGTGCAAACGATGTTCATCCACTTCAAAGCTCTTCTTTTGTCTGATTTAAGGCGTTGTACCTAAAACATTTGACACTATATCACTTCTTTAATGTTATAATGTTCGTTTTGTATTGTCTACATTTGTTCTGCAACAATACAATTTGCCTACACTGCAGCCTACGAGTTGCACGCGCACATCATCTTTTATTGCTTTCTAACTTGTATTTATTATAATTAAGCTCTCTTTTTCTAATCCTGCGAGATAGGTCTATTGTGGCATTCTCGGTCATATCGGAAGTAGATGTCAAGTTGCTTATTTTAAATCAGGTACCCTGTATGTGATTGCATATTTGGATTCTATGTAAAATTCTGAGCAGATTTCATGTGATATACCCTTTACCGAGCCCTTTACCTAATTTCAACGGTTTTGGACATATTGACAGTTGAAAATTGACTTTTTGCAACTTTGACAGGCTGTAAAACCTGAACGGCTAATTTTAGTGAAAAACCGATTTTACATTCCTATCTTAGATTTTTATAAACTATCATTTGACACCAACTTTGAATTTAATCCATGATTGAAAATTCCAGGTAAATTTAATCTCTGATTGAATTCAAAGTTGGTGTCAAATGATAGCTTATGACCGGTTAGGTTTTACAGCCTGTCAAAGCTGCAAAAAGTCAATTTTCAACTGTCAATATTTCCAAAACAGTTGAACTTAGGTATAGCGTATATCACATGAAATCTGCTCAGAATTTTAAGTAGAATCCAAAAATGGAATCACATACAAGGTGTCTTATTTAAAATAAGCAAGTTGACGTCTACTTCCCGTATAACGGGAAGGGCCACTATCTTGAAAATATTTCAGCCGGGTTGCCCTCATTGAAATTAGTGAAATTTTCAAAATTTTTCTGCATACAGTTTTTCATAATATATAGATCGATTTGGTTTCCGGTGGGACACCCTGTATAGGGTGTCTCATTTAAAATAAGTAAGTTGACGGCTACTTCCGGTATAACCGGAAGTGCCACCATCTTAGCCGGGTTGCCTCTATTGCATTGACATTAATATAGTGTCAAATTTTCAAAAAATTTCTGCATACAGTTTTTCACATATAGATCGATTTGGTTCCCGGTGGGACACCCTGTATAGATGAATATGATAGCCTTTTATTTGAAGCTCTACAAAACTGGTGGTTAGCCTGTTGGTAATTCCAATAAATTACAATTTATACAGTGAGGACATAAAGTCCGTCGCCCCCCCTCTAACTTTTGAACCGCTCGGTATATTGCAATGAAATTTGGAATGATGATATGTGACTAGATTCTCCATTTTTTGGAAAACAAATGACAGCTTCAGCTGTCAAACTGACAGCTAAGCGCAGTTTTTAAACGTTTTTTTAAATAGAAGGCGGTGTCGAATGATATATCGTTTTAAAGGTTTCTTTATTCTCAATTAAATCCCCGAATCTGAAAACATTTGGTTTAGCGGTTTTCAAATGATGACGAAAAACAAAGGCTTGTTTTGCTCATAAACACCCATGAAAAAAAAATATATTTTTTTTTATCGCTTTTTTTTCATTATTTAAGTTACCAATGTCATGACGTTATTATTATTACTGAAAAAAAACAATGAATAAAAAACCAATAAAAAAAATTTTTAATTTTTTTTTATGAGTGTTTATGAGCAAAACAAGCCTTTGTTTTTTCGTCATCATTTGAAAACCGCTAAACCAAATGTTTTCAGATTCGGGGATTTAATTGAGAATAAAGGAACCTTTAAAACGATATATCATTCGACACCGCCTTCTATTCAAAAAAACGTTTCAAAACTGCGCCTAGCTGTCATTTTGACAGCTGAAGCTGTCATTTGTTTTTCAAAACATGGAGAATCTAGTCACATATCATCAATCAAAATTTCGTTGCAATATACCGACCGGTTCAAAAGTTAGAGGGGGGGCGACGGACTTTATATCCTCACTGTATAATTTATTCAATGCATCAGCCATTTCTTATGGTGCGAGACTTGGTCCATTGTCTTACAAAATATCCAATTCCACAAGACTTTAAGACTCCAACAATAATAATTATTTCCAAACTTAAATGGACCTCTGATAATGAGAGTGGTATAGTAGATGTTGTCCGATCTCCATGAGCAGCGTGCAAAACCCAACTGATCCAAGTGTGGCAATTAATTTCATTATTGAACCAGTTTTTTGACCACCATTCTCGACCAACAGTGAACAGGAAATCATTCGCACTGATCAATTCTTGCATTGTACTTTTTGCGATATTGGAATTTATTAGAGATACTACGTCGGTGTGGCTTCAATTGCGCAGCTGACTCCCAAAGAAATTTCCAACTTCCCGACGAGCTCTGCCAACTTCTCCATATATTTCTTCTATTGCATTCTTAATTTTATTATTGTTTCCATGATTGTATCGAATCGCGTCTGTTCCTTATAGATTATGGCTGGAATCCATTCTCATTGAAACCTGAAATTTTCCTGTTCTTTTTCTTTCTGTTTTCAGGCCTTCTTCTCTTTTTGATCTCTTATCTTGTACTTGTTGTTGCAGATGTGCTAAAAGCAGGTCTTGTGTCTTGGGGGCTTCCTCTTCTTGTCTTTCTTTCTGTCTTTGGTCTTCCTCTTCTTATTTTAATATTTATATCTGATCTTGTCGTTGTCAAAGCTGCAAGTCAGTCCTGCTCTTCTTGTCTATAGTCTTCGATATTTATCATCCAACCACCAACATTTGATTAACCTGTGCATTTGAATAATTCAAATGCCCATAAGGTGCCTACCTACATATTTTAATATCTTACTTTTATTGTTCAATTAAATTTGTCAAATGCTATAATGTGGTAGTGCCTTAAAATAGCTTGGCCTAAACCCCTTATCATGATAGATAAGTCTTGTTTGTGATAGTTATGCAAATAAAAGATATAATTTGTCACATGCCACCCATGTACACGACATCAAATTCATTGTAATTTTCCAGCAGATTTAAATGAAAAAAGACGGTTTCAAAACGCCTACCTAGAAATATTTTCATTTTAATGATTTGATGCTACTGGATCATGTCAGTTAACTGCCTTGGGAACATAAACAAACGCTAGTTAGTGTAAGGATAAAAATAAGTTTCCACCTGAATTCCTTCTTACAAGAATTTATCAGTTTTGGGTTTTATGAAACTGTTTTGATACTTTAAACGAGAGTTTGAATTCAATGTTTTTTGTTACTAGATAAACATTTGTACCCATGATAAAAATAAGGTTTTACTTTTTACTTACATTCCTTTTTGTGTGTTCGCTAAACTAGTTAAACACCTGAATTGATTTTGTTTTTGATTATTTAGTACATGGAATTTTCCTCCAATGAAGTCCAAAAGTTAATTTCATTCGTAATTGTTTTTTTTTTAAACATTTAATAGAAAAAAATCCACCGTTTCTAAATTCAAAGATATTACATTTTTACAGGTTTTTAATAGCCAACGCCTCTAAAAAGATGATATTAATAATTTTATTTAAGAGTTCTGTAGAAGGATATAGTCGCAGAACTTTGCTTCTCTTTCATAATTTGGCAATTACATGATAAATTGTTATTTAAATCAAGCCATTTAGAATAACTTGCATATTATGTATTTGAAACAAAATCCGAAAATATAATAAACATAAAGTTTGAAGGTTATTGGATTTGATTTTTCCGACAATAAATAACCAAATGACGTAGAATCGTGGCAATTTTAAAAACATTCCTGGAGAATAATTAGCTCGTCCCCTGCCAATCACGATTCATAATAGTTTTAGCTGTGTGTCAGTTTTATTATTGTATCTAACCAAAGTAGGAAACATGTATATTTGCAACCTCACCGCGAAAATATGCGCTATTGTGCTGGAAAGTTGATTTTTTCAAAATCTTTGTAGGAGAGAAGGATAAGAAACAAAACGTATGCCAAATTTATTTTAAGAACAATACTTGAAGATTATTGAAAGTATTTACTAGTCATTAACTACGCAAATGTGAAAATTACCTAGAAAGTTCTTATGATAGTTTTTGTAACATCACAATAATGCCTGATTCAGTTGGTATTTCTGATTAGCTTGCCAGAATTATAAATTATTATAAGTGCGCCAAAAATTCGAATTGATTGTTTGGCGCCATAATAAAATGTATTCTCCTCTAATACAAATGCCTCATTATTTAGTCTCCCTACCAGTCATATATTTTAAAACAAATCTCAGTAACTAAATTTCTGGTAAAACAGAATCACACACGGCACAGACTAGACAACTGTTTCAGACACTGGGCATTGTGCCAGCTTTGGGTCATTTGTATTCCATTATGAAGGTCCATTCTCAAACTGTTGATGTTAAAACAGAATGGGTTTTTTATTTTTATTTTATTACAGGTTTTAAAAAAAATACAGGTATTTGTATCATTGTTTCCATTACTATCAAGAGTGGTTGTCAATGTTGCTCCTGATTTTTGAAAAATGTAGCCTACTAGATTTTTCTATTAGGTCTTACGAACTTTCTTTCTTACACAATTGAATGGCACATTTTATCACTAATCTCATGAATAACTTTTTAAAATTTAAATCATCTGATATAGGTAATAAATATGAGTTTTGTTGTGGAATAATTTTGTATAGGTAATAAGTCAATTTTATGTAATTCAACTATTTTTTTCTTTCTAGCGCTGGGTGCTGCTTATGGCACAGCCAAATCAGGAACCGGTATTGCCGCCATGTCGGTCATGCGACCGGAACTGATCATGAAATGTATTATTCCTGTTGTCATGGCGGGTATTATTGCCATCTATGGTCTGGTAATAGCTATCCTCATTGCCGGTAACATTTCGGCCCCTACCACCTATACTTTATACAAGTAAGTAAAAACCCACTTTGATAGATATTATTACACTTGATGTTATATTATCTACAAATATGTGCTTAAATCTCAAGTGTAAGTTTTTAAATTTAATTGGCCTTCTCAACTGTCTCTTGTCAAATCAAATCATTTATTTCGTGCTATTACACTTACACCCATATGCAACATCCTGTTTCAACTTAAAAGCCGAGTTAAAAGCGCTTTTTAAAGCTGGACTTTTAAAAATGTGTATTCTAATGCCAGTTTTCCACCAAACAGACAAAACAAAAACAAAACCCAAACTCAAACTTTTCCCAAACATTTTCAAGACTAGCGTGTTTTGAGACAGTTGGAGTTTTGTTTCGCCGAGAAAACATAACGTAGTCTGCTTGATGGAAACAAGAGTTTTGTGTTTACTTCAGTTTTGTTTTAAAACATGTTTTAAAACACAAACTCAACAGTCTGTTTAGTGGAAAACCGGCATAAGCAATACAAATTTTTAAAGGTACCAGTTTTAAAAAGCGCTTTTTAATTGAAATAAAAAAAATTCCCAGAATAGCTTAAAATTTACAATTAATAGTTTATTTAATATTATATCATTTACACTAATTAAAATACATTCAAACATTTTAAAATAGAACAGAATTCAAAAACTTTAAAATATACATCAAAATACATCAGACATAATACAAACATTAGGTTAAGATGGCATTAAAAATTTTGGAGCACATCATTTTATTTATCATTATCATAGACCGCGAGATAGGGCCTGTTTAGTGGAGTCATTTTTTTTGTCTGGCATTTTGAGGGATGAATGTGGCTAGTTAGCTGATGAGAATATAGGTGGTTTTAGTGCCTGCCACCTGTTCGAAATGTCCACAGAATGTTTCGCCGGAAAACTCGACTTCGAACTGGGATTACCGTCTGGCGATTTTTCAGCGATATTTTCACAACAAAACCTTCCATTCTCTCAATTACCAGACAAAAAGTAAACGCGGAAGGTTCTTTTCTTTTCTTTTGGAAGTTGACTCTCATCCCCACTTTTTCACCTATTGAAAAGCATTTGGTATTTTTTATGGGTGAATTATTTATCAATGTCAATCTTTTATTTAGAAAAATTCCTCATGTAAATCAATTTTTTTCTTCTGCAAATTTTCGAACGGGAGGCAGGCATTAAAATCACCCATATTCTCATCAGCTTAGTAGCCACATTCAGCCCTCAAAATGCCAGACAAAAAAAAATGACTCCACTAAACAGCCCCTATCTCACAGTCTATCACAGTAATAGCAATTTATTTCCTACCCAAACAAGTGTGGAGTTGCTGAATTCTTCTATTGAGTAGAATGCATATTCAATTAGCAAGTCTTTAAGTTTCCTCTTGAATTGGATTCTGCGAAGATTTTTTAGGCGTTCTGGAATTTTATTGAAAAAATGTATAGAATGATATCCAGGGCCATTTTGACACCTATGTAAACAATGGTAAATAGGTAGTAGGTTATTTTTATTTCTTGGATCATAATCATGGACATCACTATGCCGGACAAATCTGTCATGACTGTCCCTGACATACATGAAGTTCTGCAAGATGTATTCACCTGGGATAGTCAAAACTTGGCGGTCAACAAAAGCTTGTTTACAATCATCTCTGTATTTAAATCCTACTATTATTCTTATGGCTCGCGTTTGCAAGGCAAAGACTCTGCGGGAACCGCTTGAGTGGCCCCAAACCAATAGTGCATAACTTAAGTGTGAATGGAAGATAGAAAAGTAAGCTTCAGAATTTTAGGAGAAACACACTGACAAATTTCCAAGCAAAGGACCCTGCCCAAAGTATACGGAAAATGTGTTTATGTCAGAATTGGCTGAATTTTGTACATAATGTAGATCACGCCTTTCTGATTAAAAGTTACCATTGCACCAATCCTGAAAAATGACGCCTTTTTGAGAAAATTAATTTCATAGGTATCAAGTAGAACGCTTGGACATTGTAATGGACGTTCAATGTATCATGAATAGGTGTAGAATATGTAAGCTTGTGGTGCAGTGGTGTGCTACATAGAGTCATTTTTCAGGATTGGTGCAATGATAACTTTTAATCAGAAAGGCGTGATCTACATTATATTCAATCATCATAGTTTCAATCATAGTTAAACCTCCAAAGGAGCGGACTTCCCATACAAAATTCAGCCAATTCTGACATAAACACAATTTCCGTATACTTTGGGCAGGGTCCTTTCTCAGAACAAATACGTTTTTGCTTAGTTTATTGGATGTCATTTCAGTATGGGCATTCCACAGTAATTTCTGATTTAGTGAAACTCCGAGAAATTTGACACTGTCCGTCCCTGCCTCAGTTTTTTCAGTGAAAAAGCGAAGTTTTGTGTCTTGGCTTCGTTTAGGAAAAGTTTATTTGCTGAGAACCATTGCCTAGCTCTCGACTGTGCCTTCCTCGACATTTCAGTGGCAATCTGTAGGTCAGTATGTTAAGTTTGTGCAGTCGTGTCGTCTGCAAAATTGTAGCAATGTTGAGAAGATCATTTATGTAAAGCAAGAACAATATTGGTCCCAAGATTGATCCCTGTGGTACACCAACATTGATTAGCTGTTTATCTGATACTGTGTTATAAAAATTAACAGTTTGTTGGCGATTTGTTAAGTACAACTTTATTAGTTTTATGCTGTTATTTGAAAATTTATAGTAGGGTAATTTGTCCAGTAAAATGTAGTGAGAAACACAGTCGAAAGCCTTGCTCAGGTCACAGAAAGTAGAAATGGTACTGAGAGCTCTGAAACCCCTCCATTATATTTTCCACCAGCTTCAAATCTGCCAAAGTTGTATTTCTTCCCTCTCTAAAACCAAACTGATTTGCATTTAAGAATCCTTCATTTTCCACATTTGAACTTCAAGACAATTTTCAACAAGGGTAGAAGAGATTCGGGTCTGTAGTTCCCAGTATCGTTAGTTTCCCCTTTTTGATATATAGGTGCGACTCTGGCAATTTTTAGGCAGTTCGGGAATTTATTTTTTCTACTTGCGTGCGCAAAGTAATCACTTTGCACACTCATTTGCGTGCGCAAAGTTCAACTTTGCGCACGGAAACTCTTTGCGCACTCATTTTTGTTATGCATAATTACCATAGTTATACTTGATTTTTCAATGTTTTTGATGGTTTCTGAATAAACTAATATTCAAAATGAAGGCTTTTAGTTGAAATTAGCGCTTAGCTAACATGATGTTTCCTATCAAAGGTGTCCAAATTGGACCAGCCTGTACTGCTAGGAATTTGTAGAATTTTTGATATTTGAGAGACTCTCCTGCAAATTATCTAGCCGGTATTCTAGAAATTCTAGAAGATGTTAAAATATTTTTGGGGATTTAATTTAAAAGACATTTTGAGGAATTCCAATAGATTTAAAACGATTTTTGAAGATTTTGATTTGATTGATTTTTCTAATATTTTAACAATTCAAAGTCTACTTTTTTAAGATACTCGTAGAAAAAATATTGTTCCTAACACTTGCGCAAAGTTTCTTTCCCGCACTCAAAGCTTATCCGAACTCCGCTTCGCGTCGTTCGTCTAACTGCTTTTTCGTGCGGGAAAGTATCACTTTGCGCACTTGTTAGGAAAATAACTATTTCCTACAGCCGTGCGGAAAAATCGATTTTCCACACTAATATGCGTGCGGAAAATGAGTTTTCCCGCACGGTGCGGTAAAACTTTTTTTTTTGACATATCAGTGTGGAAAAAGTTTTTCCGCACGGCTGTCAGTGCGGAAAAAATTTTACCGCACTGATATGTCAAAAAAAAGAAGAAAAATTTTACATTTTTACGCCTGTAGGAAAAATATTGTACCTAACACTTGCGGAAAATATTTTTCCGCACTAGGCTGCATCACCGAACTCCGCTACGCGTGCGGAAAAATTCATTTTCCGCACTTGTTAGGTAAATAGCTATTGTTCGATTCATATGTTGATCAACTTTGTCAACGGTATAAGCAACAAATTCTTGACACACCTAAAGTTGATATTTAGATTATAGATGTCTCTGCTAGTCTTGTTTTTAGACCATCAATCACCATTCTGACATCATTGAAAGAGACCTCTTTGAAATAGATTTCACGCCCGTCAATTTGTAGGTTTTGTAAGTTATCTATAGGATTTATATCTTCGATGGGAACTTGTTTTTGCATATCTATTGCTATAATGATTGCTATACTAATAAAGTAGCTATTAAAGTTCTGTGCATTGATGTTGGTTTTGTCTGTATTTGTCTTAGAAGTTTTGAATTTTCCCAGCATTACCACAGAAAAATGTAAGCTTTGAGTTGGTTATTCGGAAAATGTTTGTAAAGATCATTCAGATACTGCAAAGATTCACGCATGTTTTTTAAATCATGGCTAAACCAGTCAAAATTATTTCTGTGCTTTAACTTTACATGTTTTTTATGGGAACGAATCATTGAAAGCGGACTCAAGCAACTGCACGAGCATGAGGGTCTCAAACTTCGACTCTAAGGAGGATGGATTATCAATGAAGCCAAAATCGACATTAGCAATGATTTCAAAGAATTTGTTTTTCCCCTCTGCATAAAAGGTTGACAAAGTTTTTTTGTGATTGTGCTAGTGTTTTTTTTTGAGAGTGTAGTTGACTGCAATCAGCTGACCATCATGATCAGACTTACCCGGACTTAAGATAGTTGCTTCAAAATCATCCTCCACACTTATTTGTTTAACATTTACTAACTCGGAAAAGTTTGACTCCCTTTCCTGTATTATCAATGAACCCCCTTTGGTAAAGTTTGATCTACAAAATGAAGCTGCTACTTGTTAGTTTGCAATCCGTAAATTGTCTATTTCTTCAGTCTTGAGAAAATGCTCCGTGATACAAATAATGTTTATGTTCTTATCGCAGGAGAAGGTTTCAAGTTCTTCTGTAGCGTTTCGAATTGATTGGGTGTTATAATGTAGTACCTTTATAGTTTTGAGCATTTGTGGCCTGTATATGATAATGAGCCTGTGATAATGACTCCCTTTCCCCAGATGTCTGGGATCATAATTTTGTGTGTTTCGGTCTCAAAGAATTCGATTTTGAATGAGCTCATGATGTTACTGTTTTTTGTCTTCATTTTATAACATCTTGTGACTCTCCGTGTGCTAGTTTTAATGTACATTCGTACCTCTTCTTCAGTCACGGTAGGTGCAAGCCCTGAAAGAAAGAGATACATTTTTTTCTGTGCTACAAGTCGCATCCACCAATAACTGGAGATTGTCCTTTTTTTCCCAAACGAAACTGTTTTCCAGGGGTCTTCATTTTTATTTTTATCTGACTAGCTGTTTTCTTGTGCTTTTCCCACCATTTGTTTCTTGTTTTTTTTTTTAGTATGGGGTGACTCAGGGCCGCCATCACTTTCTTGCGATTTCTTTGATGATTGCTTCTCGCCTTTCATCGATCGAGGGGCAAGAAACTTATTATTTTTCTGAGAGTTCTTGTTTTTTGACGACTCATTTTCGTTTTCAGCAGTCTTGTCTTATCATATAAAACTTGAGAGCAAAAACATTTTTGTATCTCATGCAATATTGCCTGCACCAAATGTTAAGAAACTCTTCATATAGGTACGCCTGCGTTTGAGTTTTCTGGCCTCAAAAAACTTTATCTATGTTACTCATTTTCATAAATAAGTCTCAGTTTCCGCTACAGAGGAGCTGTAAACTCTATAGTTTATTTGGTAGGTTTGCATAGTAAGTTGCTAATTACAGTGTAAATTGCGAAGGGTAAATGAGTGGTTGCAATTCGCTCTAGAAGATAATTGTCTTTTGTCTTGGAAAATTCTTACACGTGTTAATACTCTCCCTGATAATCCAGTGTGACGTCACAAACACCTAGTTGTAACTTTAAACCGCCCTAACTCGAAAACGGACCATCGTAGCCAGATGCAATTTGAATACTATTCTTAGATTTTTTTGCACTAAAACTTTCATTTTTGGATCTCACCCTCTTTAACCCACGCTGGGAGTCAAATTTCAAGGCCGTGACATATGAGCTAGCAAGTATAGTCTGTCCTAAAATTGAAGATAATTCTCCGAGTCAAAAATTTAGTAACTATGTTGGCAACACAAGCCTTTTTTACGTGAAAAATTTGAAAGCAGTGAAATTTTACATTGTATTGCCAACACAATATCATCTTGACTTTTATCTTTAATTTTGAGACGACAGACTAGAAAATCCGTCATGATAATCATTAATGGCGAATTACCAAACAAGCTGTTAGCCCATTACATGAGAGTTGCATCCACAATTTTTTCGAGTATTTTTTCTACTTCCATTAACAATCGAAATACATACATAGTTACATATTAATTTTAGGAGCTGGTTCATTCACCTTGTGATAAACTGTCAGGTATGCAATTTGACGGATAAAAACACAATCTGTAATCCCATTGGTCGGCCAGTTATCCGGCGGCTAATAGAATTATAAAAATTTATCTTGCAGATAGTTACCAGCTAGTTTGTCTGAAGATGAATAAACGGGGCCTAAGAATAGTAATTTTTTTGAATGATGTGCCATTTATTGAGAGTTTTGAAATCAGGATCCAATGAGCTCTTGAGTTGAACTGTATTGAGCTAATGAACCGAGCAATGAACTTTATACTACACGAACCTAGAACGGATCCGACCGATGTCGAATACTGGCGTTGCTGTGTCCATCACAACACTTCACTGTGACAGCAACCTTTCTCTCTCATACCCATTCTGTTAGGTTTGGTTAATTGAAGGATAACTGTTTATTTGGATTATTTTGGAATTTTTTGTTTGTTGTTAAATTTGTAGCTGGTTTTCTTGCCTTTGAGTTGAAACGATAGAAAAACCCTAAATACATAATTTGCCTCAATTTTATATATCGGCGCGTCCGTTACAGGTATGTGTCGTAGTATACAGTGAACACGTGAAGGTTGGAATAATAATCCATAAAAAAATACAAGGTTGATTTTTCTCAACAAACCTCTGACACATCGATTTTTGATTTTAGTGGCTGTTTGTTATATGATAATTTTATGTATACAGGGTGACTCAAAAACAAGCTATGACAGCGAACTTTATTTTTTTAAATGAAAACACCAGCATTTCATTTTCAAATTCTGAACCTATTTTATGTATCATGTCCTATACCTATCTTCAACTGTTTCAGAAATATTGACAGTTGAAAATTGACGTTTTTGCAACTTTGACAGGCTGTAAAACCTAAATGGTTAATTTTAGGGCAAAACCGATTTTATATGCTCATATTTAGTTTTTCATGATATAATTTGACACAAACTTTGAATTTAACCTGAGATGAAATTTAACCCGAATTTTTAATGATGGATTAAATTCAAAGTTGGTGTCAATTGATAGTTTATGGAAAACTAAGACAAGCATGTATGATCGGTTTTGCTCTAAAATTAACCGTTTAGGTTTTACAGCCTGTCAAAGTAGTAAAAAAGTCAATTTTCAACTGTCAGTATTTCCGAAACAGTTGAAGATAGGTATAGGACATGGACATGATCCAGGACATGATACATACAGTCTGTCGTTTTTAATCTCATACTCCAAAGGAATGTGAGCTGGTCGCTCCCTACGTTAGAGCGCCAATGGTCACCTGACCTCACACCTGTTTTTGCCACATGCTTCACCCCCTCGCCCCTCATACGGAAGGTGTCAGTTTAAAAACGACGAACAAAAAAATAGTGTTTTCCCATAGCTACTGGTAAAGTAGCCTTTAATCTTCAATCTACTAAAAATAGTAGATAAAGTAGTACTTTAACCGCAAGGGTAGATTAAATGATACTTTAACAGCAAGGATAGATAAAGACGTTTATTTTGTCTAAAATATGTATATATTTTTGATTTTATTTATTTGTCAAACAAATTTCTACTTAAGCAAAAGTGTTCGACTCAAATAATTTCTAAATATTTTTGATACTACAGGCGTCCATAATTACTCTATGGAGAAAAACTTTGTTTTACACACGACGATGAAATGCCATTATCGTCTCCCGGAATTAATTCACTCGCGATTCCGCTCGTGAATTAACTTTTCCGGTCAACGATAAACTACCATTTTATCGTCTTTTATAAAAAATAACTATTTTATTTAAAAAAAAAAAAAGTTAGCTGTCATGACATATCAACCCTGTTTGTTTTATGGATTTTATTCCAACCTTTACGTGCTCAATGCATTGCATAGTACATTTTCAGGACCTAGACGTACCATTTGCGCATAGATTCAGCACCCGTGCTCCGCGGATTTATATATTTTTATGAAGCATACTTAATGAAAATCTGTATCATAATGACGATCATTATGAAACAGATACGTTGAAGTTTAATGTTTGTCGACTTTACTCAGTCGGATGATTACTCTACTCATAGTGCAAACTTTATTCTCGTAATAGCCACATCGTTACATTCATTACCCGCTTGTTGAATTAGTTTTATAATATATGTACCATAAATTTCTGCTATAAACATCTACTTACCTTTATTGTTATGATTTCAATTATTCCATTTTTAAAGATCAAAACAGGATAAAATAAATTAACTAAGCAACACTTTCTGTATTTTCAGAGGCTTTTTACACTTGGGAGCAGGTCTCGCAGTAGGATTTTCTGGTTTAGCTGCAGGATTCGCTATTGGTATCGTGGGAGACGCTGGTGTAAGAGGAACGGCGCAACAACCAAGGCTCTTCGTAGGAATGATCCTTATCCTTATTTTTGCTGAAGTATTAGGTCTTTACGGACTTATTGTCGCTATCTTCTTGTACACCAAAAATTAAATTGTTTTTTGTTGTTTCGAAATTTTTCAGATCCTCCCAGTAAATCTCCTCCATTCAATAAACTTACCATTTCTTGGTCAACAAGATTTTAGGTAACTATCATTAATTGTGTAAAAATAATGCCGATGTAAAAAATGTAAACCATAGCGAAGGTGACCACGCTCATATTTAACTATGGTAGATAGGGCAGTATGATAGTTTTTCTATGCCGCCCCTATCATAATGTAAATACATATTCACATCATTTTAGTCAGTTTCGCGAGGGTATACTTCTTTATTAAATTAATTATTGTATAGAGACTATAGATTTTAGGTTATCTACATTTATTTCCTATTGAGATATAATATATTTAAGCCGGCTCTATTGAGTCGGAATTTAAATAAAAAAAAGTTGAAAAAAATAGCACAATTTTTTTTTAATTTCATCGAGACATAGAGTTATTTTTATTTGTATTGCATTAGTGAGTTGTATGTCGACTGTTATGTCTTGGCCTTAGAGGCTGATGGTGTTCTCTTTAATTTTTTTATTCATTCTACATATCATTCAATTATTGTTATAATTCCAACAACTTGATTTTTTGTCCCATTTTATTGTGCTATGTTTTGTTCACACAGTGAGTGTAACTATTGTAATAGAAATAGTTCAACAGCATAAATAGTATACCATCTTTATCGAATCGTGTGCATTGCAGTATTACATTATGTTAAGTTTTAATTTTTAATTGGTGTCTAAAATAAATAGTTACAAAATTATGAACAAAGAGTTATTGTAATTTTGTTCAGACCTATCTTAGGCAATTTTTCATTATTAAAAATATTGTTGTAAATAAAATAGCAGCATAATGTATTGATGGTTTGGTGTCCATAGTTAATAGGTGTTAGCTTCTTAAAAGTAGTCCTGCCCAGATTTAGGAGAAAAAAAAACGTGGCTGAATTTTACCCAAACTACAAATGTATGGGTATGTTCAACACGTTTATCGTTACTAACAATAAGATGGTATATATTTTCTGTTTTATTTTAGTCACCGTAACTCATATAGCAAAAATGTAATGTTGAAGCTTTGTGGATGTCTCTTGTCTTAATGATTTTAACTGATATTCAAAATCAAAAATGCTTGCTTGGCAATTAAACATATTCTATCAAAAATGTAAAGCCTGGTTATTGTGCATCATATGGCTATTTAAACAACACATTTTATTATAAACTAAGTTTGGTTGTGGAACAAGTTACGTAGGTAGGGAGTTTGTTTTTGGTACCCCCAAAAGAGGCAAAAGGCATCCAACTTTGTTTTAGAGTAAGATGTAGGATGGTTTTTATGTAAAAGGAAGGGAACAGCAAAATTATGTTGAAAATAAATAATTTGTACATTCCATTACAATTTCTGTTTTATCAATTCTTGTTTTTCATTTTTTGTCCATGTTCTTTTTTTTTATTGGCTTTCGTGTAAATCATCATTACAATAGGTGAAGAGGGCGAAGAGGCTAAATGGTATAATGATTATTTCATCCTGATCTGTTTTGTCAAATCTAGGAGGATGCATTTGATGAGAATTCATAAGTATGTAGATTATAGATACCAGCAGATGACTTCAGTGATACTGGAAATAATTCCTGATTTCGAATAGGCGCCATTCTGCATTTTAGACAATTGAGAAATATAGGCACTTCTAATTCAATTGGAGGTATATCATTATTAGTCTCGCTCCAGTTAATTGAAATAATGTAGAAAAAATTCTGTTTGGGAACTTGAGCTGCTCAAATATAAGTACTTAACTAAGATAACAAAGAAAAAACTTAAAGAAATAGCTCATATCAACATGATCCTAGTGTAATTATTCATTCTCCCTTCTAATCTAATTTTCAGTTTCTGCTTGAGGTAGGCTTTCCATTTCTCCCTGTGTTGCTGCTAGCTGCTCTGGATTTTCCTAAGAGGTTAAGATCTGGACATGCCATTGTGCCAGCTCCCCAGTTTTGATATTGAAAGCACCAAATTAGCCTACCAAGTTTAATTTTTCTTGATAATTGGGGAATCTGTACCTAACTGTCTTCTGCTAAATAAACCTCGACCTCTGTTGCCTAGGCATTGTTTCAACTGAAACTTAAACACTGTAACTCAATGAAGTTGATATTCTGGACGAGACAATTAATTGTAGGACGTTTCGTTTCTTCAGAATCAGTATAATGAAGAGCTTGCTAGGATGATTGTTCTGAAAATTATCATGACAAAATCACCATACCTATGCTTGTAACCTATAAAATAATATGATAACCTTTTTTACTATAAAACAGTTTATGTTTATGTTTATGTTTATTAACGGACTTGCCACTTTACTAAATCTACTTATACAAAATACACTTAAAACAAAAGACTTAAACTAACACAATTACTTGAACTTTGATTACATTACATTACAATAAAATTTTCTTAACCTGTTGAATAAAACTAGGGTTTGAGCAATTGAAAACATCAACATCATCAGCCACACAGTTCATCTGGCGGCACATTCTCGTTAAAGCCGAATTCTGGCCATAGTTAGTACGATGGTATGGGACAGAAAATAAATTTCTACTTCTAGTAGTTCGCTGGGGAACCGCAAGCCCAACACCTTCTAAAAGATATGGACAATCGACAGTGTTGTTCAAAAGTTTAAATAAAAATCCCAAATCAAGAATTAAACGTCTTGTTTGCAGCGATGGAAGCTTTAGTAAAGTTTGCAATTGATTATAATCAATTTGTTCTGGTGGGATTTTTAGTTTGTAAGCAACAAGTCGAAGAAATCGCTTTTGGACCCTTTCAAGCAAGTCTATGTATGTAGAGTAGAAAGGTGACCATACCTGTGACCCATATTCCAACGTCGATCGCACAATTGCACAATACAAAGCCCTAAAACATTCAATATTATTAAAATCTTTCAGGGTTCTGCCAATAAAACCAACTAACTTTATTGATTTGTTATAAATGCTCTCAATCTGTAGATCGTATCTTAAGGGACTATCTAATATTACTCCAAGATCTTTATGGAAAATTTCAGCGGATAGTATTTCATTTTTTAAAGAGTAGTCAAATATAATTGGAGTCTTTATTCTATGATATCTCATTACCTGACACTTAGAAACATTCAGTTCTAATCTATTTCTTTTACACCAATCCAAAAACGCATTGAGATCTTTCTGGATCACCTCACAATCGTCTAGTTCCTTTACTGTTTTATAAAGTTTTAGGTCGTCTGCATACAAGAGATAATTACAGTTTTCAATTTCATAATGGATATCATTAATGAATAAGTTGAACAGTAGAGGTGATATGTGACCACCTTGTGGAACACCAGATGTTACATTTATGGTCAAGGAAGTAGCATTATTTATTTTTACCACCTGCTGTCTGTTAGTTAAGTAACTGGTTAGCCAATGGAGTAGTGGTCCAGAAATGCCAAACTTTTCCAGTTTTCTCGACAAAATGACGTGAAGAACCTTGTCGAATGCCTTGGAGAAATCAGTATAAATGACATCTACCTGGCATCTGCTCTCCAAAGCATTCGAGAGGTACTCCTCAAAGCAGAGCAAATTAGTAACTGAAGACCTACCCTTGACAAAACCATGTTGGGCAGGAGTTATGATACCCTTAAAAGCCGGCGTAATTTTATTAGTAACAATCTCCTCAAAAATCTTACCAATCACGCTCAACTTTGATATTGGGCGATAGTTTTCCACCTTCGCTCTGTCAGAGGTTTTATGCAAAGGAGTGATGAAGCTTAATTTCCATTTATCTGGGAAAGTGCCAGATTTGATTGACCAATTAAAAATTTGGGAGAGTATGGGTGAAATAATGAATCTGCAATTAAATAGAAAATCACGTGGTACGCTGTCAGGTCCTACACCTAGATGTGGCTTTGTATTCTCTATGGCATTAAATACATCTAATGGTGTAATTGAAATGTTGTTTAAATCGACCGTATTGTAATATTTGCAATGTATTAGCTCGCTTTCCGTTACAAACGAATTGTGCGAATCGTGCAAATCGTTGTGGCTTTTGACCTTGCTATAAACTGAACCAAAAAAATCAGCAAAAAGGTTAACTATTGAATCAGTGTCATTCGAGACTGTGCCACCATACGACATTAAATTAGGTAATACATAACAACTTCTTTTATCTTTCACAAATTTCCAGAATGCCTTTTTGTCGTCGATAATTGCGTTTTCTGTCAAGTTGATAAAATTTTCGTAAGCTAAAGATGATAAAATTTTGCATTCTTGTCTCAATACTGAAAAATTTTCATAATCAATAATGTTATCCGTTGTTTTCCATTTTTTATGAGCTGCCTTTTTGGCAAATATAGCATGTTTCAAGTTTTCATCAAACCATTTCGGAAATTTGCGATTTTTAGTTCTAGATCTAGGAACAAATGTTTCGATACAAGAATAAACTACATAATAAAACTTGTCAATTGCAATATCAACATCCTTAAGAGTGAAAGTTTATTAGTTATGTTATGAAATCCACTGAGTCTCGGTAGATTTTTATTATAACAGTCGGCTACTTGTCATGCAAATTTTTATATAAATTTGCTGCGAGATTCTTGCCCAAAGACACGTATATTGTTTCGCACAGCGTCGAGCCTGTGAAGCAATACGTAATGAAATTACAAGCTTGACTCACCTTGTATACATTTATTGTACGTTTCAGGAACAAGACTGGAAAACTTTATCGAATACCAAAATTTACGATATCAGCTGGTCAACCCAAAATGCAGGAAAGTTTTTAAGTTGTTTTGAATAGAAATCGTGTGTACGCGGATAAGGAGACGACTTATCGTCCTTATCGAAACATGAGGTTGGTTTCTAGTACCAAACGCGCCCGTTTCATTAGGAAAATTCACTACTTATTCGCGGGTTTGACAATTTTTTTTTCTAATTTTGACATTTAAAGTGACACTTTTCAAAACTCGTTGACGTTATCAAATGCCTTACTTTTTACTTTTCAACACCAGTTACGAAAAGTAAAATTTTTCGCAACTGGTGATCAAATAGCTATTTATACAATAAGTTACGAAATGAGCGTCTTTTAGGCACGCGACGTGAAAATTGTCTAACGAGGCAAAGCCGAGTTGGACAACACGTCGAGTGACTAAAAGACACCGTTTCGTAACGTATTGTATACAAGATTTTTTCTACTGGCATTTTATAATAAAAAAACACAATTTTATTTCATGTGAATAAGTCGATTACACCCAAAATCTTTGTTACCTGCTTTTACTTGACACCTGACACTTTTCATGCGATTTTCTTTTCAAAATTCGACATCAATAATTAAAATCCTAGAAAGTAGGTAATAACACAAAGTTCTGTTTTGAGTAACCCAAACGTTCAATTCAGTAATTCAATTTTCAATATTCATAATAAATACAAAACAAAATTCAAATATGTGTTTAGTGTGTTTTTTATTTCTGAATAATGAATGACACTTTTAGGCACTAGTGCTTAAAAATTACTTTTACGCACTCATAAGTCACTTTTACGCATTCAAAAGTCACTTTTACGCACTGAGTGCCTAAAAGTAACTTTCACGCACTCAGTGCCTAAAAGAATGTCGTTTCAAAACTGAAATGACAATCGAAAAGTTGCTATTATGAAACGTCAGTAGAAAAAGTAAATTTCACCATTAGTTGCAAAAAATACAGGAACATAATATGTGGATACTTTTGGATCTGAACTACTTGAAGTACTTTGTTGTTATTATATTTTTTGTACGTGTACATATTATGAAGATTTAATTTTATTCAAATTATTTACATTATATGACAATGTATGGAAAAAAAACTAATTAGAAAGGACATTTTTCATGTTTTTGACTCGATTTTGAACGGATCAGATCATAATATACAAAATTAGAAAAAATATTGTGTGAAACACGTTGGGAAACACTATTTCTCGTCTCGTAACTCGCTTTCTTTTGCGCAGAAATCTGCTCGTTACGAAAAATAGTGCTTTTCCCAACTAGTTGCACAAATAACTATTGATTAATTTTTGACAATTCCAATTCTTCTGCCAAATTTAAAAAACAGGAAAACAGGTACAATAAATTCATTGTGGCAGTTTCGTTGCGACATAATTATGCATTTCCGCAATTTGGTTCACCACGTAAGTTAAAATTCCTAGTTAGGGAATAATTGAATTGATAGGTAAATTGTCAATTCAATAAGTTCAACAAGTTATTTATGTACCAAGGTAGTAAAGTGATATTTTATCGAACGAGTCTGAGATTAGGAGTCGAGCGAGCGAGGCAAGTAAAAGGGCGAGTTCGATAAAGACGCTTTACTGACATGGTGCATACAAAACTTTATCGCCAACCGTGAAAATTGATAACTGTAAAAAATGAAGATATTATAACAACACATTTTATTATAAGAGCAATAACACATCTACTTATTGTTTGTTATATTGAACGTGAATGTACACCCTGTTGTATGACATCAATTAATTCTTGACGTCTAGGCGTTTCAATATGTTAACAATGCGTAAGTCCTTTTTCATTAGAATTATCAATTATCATTGGTAACAACTATAGTGTCACTTTGATTTGACTGTTGCCTAAAACCGTCTTGGCGATTTTTGTTCTATTGAGTACATATTCCTCAATAGAACTCTGCAAAAATATTTGCGTCAGGTAAAATATACAGGGTGTCCCAGAATATGTGGGCAATCTCTCGGATTTGGATAGAACTCGAAAAAATAACATGACAACTTCCTATGAAAAAAAATTCCTACGGCCCCCCCTACGAAGTTACGTGCCCCTAAAGGACGCCTCTGAAAATCGGTTTTTTGTTGATAACTTTCAAAATACTTCGTGTAATTTTTTTTCTTTTAATATGATGGATACTAGGTTAGACTCCCTAAAATGGACCCACTCAAACAAACTTGACCAATCTGGTTTGCCAGGGACGGACTAGCTTTAACGCAATAATAAAACTGAGGAAATATTAGTAGAAAGGATTAATTTTCACTTTCGCGAAATAAGGCCTAATATTGAAGCATTGTCGAAGGTCGAACAATATTTTATTAGAATAGGTATGGAATGCATAAGATTAGAAGGATCTCATGTTGAGTCGACATAAAAAATTATTTAATAAAAAACCATTAATACACAAAAACAGAGTTTTCTCGAAACCAGCTCATTTTTTTGACATCGAATAAGAGTACCTTTTTTCTAGTTCAAGGTTGAAACAATCTAAAAATATTATTGCTATGCCTATATCATACAGGGTGTAAAAAAATTAGCATTATTGTGTTAAAGCTAGTCCGTCCCTGGCAAACTAGATTGGCCAAGTGTGTTTGAAAGGGTCCATTTTAAGGGGTCTTATCTAATATCCATCATATTAAAAGAAAAAAAAATTACACGAAGTATTTTGATAGTTATCAACAAAAAAACGATTTTCAGAGACGTCCTTTAGGGGCACGTAACTTCGTAGGGGGGGCAGTAGGAATTTTTTTTTATAGGAAGTTGTCATGTTATTTTTTTGTGTTCTATCTGAATCCGAGAGATTGCCCACATATTCTGGGACACCCTGTATAATGTACGCAAGTGAATAAAACATAGTCGTAGAGTATATTATTAATTGTTTCCCCCCTCATAGTTTAAATCACCGGCGTATCCAGCCCATGTGTCTGAGGGGGGGGGGGAGGGTAATCAGCCCACGCCAGCCCGCCCGAAAAATTTTTTACCGAAGGCCACACCCAAAATCGTTTACTTTGAGCCTTCAGAACATTTCTTTTCTACGAAAGGGGAAAATTAAACAGTGCGGAAAATCAATTTTCTCACACGGTGCGGCGAAATTTTTTCCGCACGGATATCGGTGCGGAAATTTTTTTTCCGCACGGCTGTCAGAAAAAAAAATCGATAATTTACTACAAATTATGTAAGTATGTACTTATTTCCGCACGTCTGTAGAAAAACTATTGTACCTAACACATGCGGAATATCTGTTTTCCGCACTCGGCTGCTTCACCGAATTCTGCTACGCGTCTTTCGGTGAACGACAGACTCGTGTGCGGAAAATAAATTTTTCCGCACTTGTGAGGTAAATATATTCTGTATTACCAACAAATAACGAAACCGAACTTTGATAGCGTATTCCATTGGAAGGGTTAGTGCGCACTGAGAGTATTCGTGTCTTATTCTACCCGTTTGTATAAGAAAGAGATAAAAAAAAATTTTTGCACTGATTTTTCCAATGGAATTCGCTATGGGATTCCTCTGAAACTTTTTAATTATAGCGAATTCTATTGGTAGAATTAATACAAAAAATGTATTTATCTCTTTCTTATGCAAGCTAGTAGAGAAAGACACGAATACACTCAGTGTGCGCTATTCTTTTGAATAGAATTCGCTATAAATGGCATGCGGGAAATGCGGACAATGTGCAAACTAGAAAACAAGTTAGGGTCAGTTGCTGAAAAGTAAAAATATAAAAAATAGATTTATTTGTAAGATGTAGGGTATAGTTATTTTTGTATCAAGGGCGCGAAATGCTACTTTGGTGATCGAGATCTGATTTTTTTAACGAGGCGCAGCCGAGTTAAAAAAATAGTCGAGATCACCAAAGTATTTTGCGCCCGAGTTGCAAACAATATTTTTTCTACAACTCCATTTAAATATCAATCATTCGAAGCCAAAATTGCATTTTCAATCAAAGGTAGGTGAATTTTAATTATTTTTGATTTCCTGACAGGTATGTGTCACCATGACACCCAGTGCGCGAACTAGCTATTTCGCGCACACGTGCGCGAAATAGCTAGTTCGCGCACGGCGTCATGGTAACGTTAAAAAATCAATACCTGGGAAAAAAAGTACCACTTCGCAAACTGTCATGAGTGTGCGAACATCATCATTTTTTGACAGTTGTAGAAAAAATATTTTTTGTTCATCGCAACGATCTTGAGGGGGGTAATTACCCCCATTACCCCCCCCCCCCTTGTATACGCCGGTGGTTTAAATGCAAGGTTAGGGTTTTTTAGAAGGGGCTTTTGAAGTTCAAGTAAGAACTTTGCCTCTGTTTGAGCTAGGATCTACGCAATAAAATTATTTATTGAATATTTTTATGTACATTCAGCAGAAAAAGCAACTAAAAATTTTACACTTGATGAATTTTAAAATTTATAGGTATATAACAATATACTTCTTATTTTTGACGTAGGTATGTACAAAATACAATAATGCGAGTTAATAAATCAACCCTTGATTCTCTTGTCCACCAAATTGTTCATTATTTGGATATTGAATCTTCACTTTCGTTGGTTGAGCAAGCTTGGCAGCTTCAACAGTGAACACGTCCTGAATTTCTCGCCATTTACCCGGATTAGGTTTTTCCTTATTTAGTTCAATATCAATTATAACAATGATCAATATTATTGCTTGAATAACTCCAGAGACTGTCGCTATTGAACTGTAACGGTTTTCTTCAAAATAGCGAACGATCCAATTTGCTATGTAAAGCGATCTGTAGGTACAGAGCATAGCTACATAGTAAAGGCATCTGGCATTTTTGGTTTTTCTAAACATGACGTATTGAGGTACTATCGCCACCACTTCTAGGTAGATGCTGGAAGACCATAGGATCTAAAAGAAAAATTATACTTCATAATTATTGATTATTGATTTCTGTACCATAAATGATTATATATCAACCATTATTACCTCAGTATAATAAGATAAATCATCATACGAACGGACATCCGAGATACTTATAGAGTTATATTTAAACGCCAATAAGGCTGCAGGAAATGTCCATAGTAAATGAAAAATACTATCATTTTTCCTATCATATGACTTTCTGAATACCACAAAAATCAGGATTATGGCAATAAAAGTCATGAGGATATAAGTGATCTTCATAAATGTATTGTAAATTGATACATAGTAGAGTAGCAAATCTGTGTAACGACTCATAAACACCTGTGCATAGAGGATTTGGGTGATTCCGGATATACCTAGAAAAACAAAAAACATTTCACATTGTGTTTGCTTATTGTTAAACTGCAAATAGTTATTGTATTGCCCTTTTTTTTCTAGCTTCTTTTAAAGAAGATGAAAGATGGAAAGCCTAATCTTTGTACTTTTTTCAGTAGTGGCGGACCCGCTTTTGACCGAAGTTTTCTTATATAAGGGATGTTGTGTAGTATAACACGGGTTCGTTCAGTAAGATTGAACGGTGAGAATTTTTTATTACCTTTAAACAACAAATTTTCTGAAAAACGAAATGAAAAACTAATAGGACCTACGTTGTGGAAACTTACTCAATTTTACTTACTGGACATGCGCCCGACATAGCAAATATTTGGGAAATTTAAGGGAAGTTGTGATATGTAAAAGAAACGAAAAATTTATGAAACGTCTACTTTATTATTAAAGTAAATCGTACCGTTCTCATCCTGTAACTAACGAGGGGAAAGAGCACGTCAGAGAAACCCTCGATCAAACATTCCTCATAAATCGAAACATACTGTGTTATTTTAATAATAATTGTGAGTCATTAATTCAATAAAAGTTGAAATTAGGTACCGCCCCTGTTCTTGTGCTTAAATTTTAATTACACACACAACTTTCAATCAACACTACCTATAATCAACACTGATGAAGAGTTTTTGGTTAGTTAGCCTATCTGTGGCAGCTACTGAGGTCCCTGGTTACGTAAACTCACAGCTATAGCTGTTTTTGAGCCAATATCTCTAGATTGATTATTTCAATTTGTTAGGATATTCTCTCGTCAGGGTAGGAAAATGTTAGTAAATTCAACAAGGCCCTAATACACGCTCTAAATTCATAAAATCGAAATCTCAGCACAAAAAGACAGCACATAATTTCTTAGGTTTTAATTTACTTCTTTATCGGTGTTGTTTACAGCATGAAACGATTTTTGTTAAATATATGAACAATGCACATGTTATAAAAAATGTTATAAACAAACATAAAAACATAAAAATGAAAAAAAAAGATACTTGTATAAATGATTGAACTCTCAACTCTTAAAAACAAAATAACAATTATTCAACTGACCTTATCGCTCCTTGACACACACACTAATAACAAATTGGATTGAACAATCAGTTTATTGCAAAATAAAAATAAAAATTGAATAATGAATAATTAGACACACGCGTCTAAAGGACCAGCCAGCTTGTTCTGTAGTCTAGTTGCGTGTTCCATATTCGCGAAAGGCCCCGAAGTAGGCGACATCTATGATCAACTTTGGTACTCAAAACTCAGTGAACAACAAAGCAAGTTTGCATTTGGCCCCCGGCATTGTTTCTGGAAGTTTTCAATTTTCTACAGAATATTATTCATTTTATGTATTGTTTCTGTTATATAAATCACAAAAACACCATAAAACACAATTTAACAAAAACTTACCTTAAAAAACTGGCTTTGTTGTTCACTGAGTTCGGCAGACATATTGCTATTTTTCGCGTAATTTAGCGCCATCTATTGGTATAGGAATTTCGCCAATCTCCCCTTCGTGTGCTTTCCTGTGGTGCCTCTAGGTTCGTCCCTACTTGACGGCGTATTACATGGTTGCAACATTTATTTTATTCAGTAAAAGCTTTTTTGAAAAGTTAAGATAGGTGGTTTTCCTCAGTTGATTTAATCAGCATGCAAAATTAAAGAAATTCATCAAAAAATCTGGAATACACCTAGTGAAATGATTGTTATGCGTAGAATGGTTCACCAGATTGACACCTCTGGACATTTTTGCAATTTTTATGATGTCTTGCGTTGGTATAGAAATTAATTTGTATTTTTCTTAAATTCATTGTCATCTAAATAGGAGCTAGGCGAAGGAAATAATGAAATTATGCAGAAGTAGAACGAACATAATACCTCCATTTTCATCGGAGTTTCTAATCAGCGGTTTTGGAAAATAAGTTCTCTATTTAAATTTATTTCGTTAATTCATTTATAAGTTAGGCAATAAAAATGGAAGCAGGAATAAAATGGAACTTTGATTGTTCTCGACCAGGACCAAGCTGCTTTTGTATACCTAGTCTTGTCATTGTTCATTCTTTGTAAACAACCCTAACTTAAAAAACAATTGAATGCAACTGCCGAAAAAAAATCAGAGCGAACTTGTAAATCAACAACATCTGTCCTGATACGATAAGAAATCGGTATTACGGTTTGGGGCGGCATCCAACACAATGGAAGAACAGGACTTTTTATTTTTAGAAATAAGGATAGGATTTACCTGGAGGAATGTTTAACAACATTAGTCCTTCCGCATGCTAGGAATTCTCGGGAACATTCTACCAGATCACCAATCGAGCACGCCGGGAGTTCAATGAGTTAGTAAACGCAAAAAAAAGAACACGAACCGGAAAATCTAGACGTGCTTTGAGCATAGGCGCCGGAATTTCAAAATTACTATGGGGGCTCGGGCTCGAAAAATTAATATAAGTAGAATCAATTAGACAGACAGGACGAGACTACTAGACACATAAACTTAAATGGGACCAGTTGGAAGATACCCATTTCACTGCAGGATCGCTACGCTGGATCATTGTTCGTCCATGCAGGTCCCTGTATGATTAAAATTCGTCCATCTTCGGCAGCTCGGCTATACTCGGCTTTAGCAGCACCATTGGCGTAGTCAGGATTTTTCTTTGGGGCGAAGAGAAATTTGCAGGAAGTGATCCTTGCAGTAGTTGCAGCTCCATCGCAAGCGCTGCAGGAGGGAAAGCGCCGCAGGCGCGAAATTTTTGGGTCCTTTCACGGTATTTTTGGGACTTCTAATGGCGGGGATACGGCCATTTAAACAAATTCTGATAAGAATTTATAATAGAGTTTTACTTATATTATAATGTATGTATTTGAATATTTACGTAGGACTTGAATTGATTCTTTGCTTTTTTCGATTTGGAATTATTGATAAAATTTAAAGGCCTTTGGGGGAAGGGGGCAAATGCCACTTTGTCCCCTTTCTTGGCCACGCCAGTCGCCAGTGAGCAGCACCGGTGGTGCGATTCGCCTTAACCGGGTACAAGCTAATTCTTACTTATTATTACTCCCTATGTGTCTAGTAGGTTTTCCGGTCTGTATATAAATTGTCCATGATAAATTAGGTAAAAAAGTCCAGTGTATTTGTACATCATGATATATTCATGTGATGTGAACATACCTATCATGAAAACGAACGGAAAGAAAAATAATAATAGAACAACTTATTGAAAATACAGGTTTGAATACTACACAACAAAATATTCAAAGTGTCTGTTGAAGAAGGTATAGCAAAAACAACAAAAACATTAAACACACAAGTTTGATATAAAAATGAATAGTTAGGAACAGGAACTCAATATTTCTGTACCTACCCATTACCCCCACTACATACAATACCAAAATCACTATGGGGGCTCCGCCCCCATAGAAAATTCACTATGGGGGCTCAAGCCCCCATTGCCCCCATGGTTCCGGCGCCTATGGCTTTGAGACCATGATCATTATGAGATCTGGGAGGAAGTTTGATCTCAAATCACAAACAAATTAATTTCGAGCATGCCTAGGAGATGTCGAGTAGGTAGTTCTTTAAAATAGAGGCCAACAAATTATTAGTTTTTAGTTACCCATCTTCCTTGTTCCTATTCTTTCCATTTTTGTTTTGTTTATTTTCCAATAGGCACTGTTTCTCTATTTTCTATGATTGTAATAATTAATCAATTAAGACATTGAACCCCTTCTCAGGGACGTAGCAAGTCAAAATGGGGCCCTGGTGCAAGACTAGAGCACAGCGGCCCCCCTTCACCATGAACAGGAAGGTTCAAATTTTCAAATTCATTGACGGGAGGGGGGGGGGGGTTATGGGCAAAACGACGCATGGCAAATTCGTAGGCGAAAAATTTTTGGAGGGTTAACAGACGATAGCTATTTTTGTAACAAGTATCTAAAATGAGGTTTTTCGGCAACCGTTCTGAAAGTACATACTTTCCGAACGCGTTTTACTTAAGAAAGTATATGCCTTTTTAGGCCTAGGCCGGGATGTGGTGACTTAGGCCAAGAAGTGATTACTTTCTGGCCTAGGAAAGTGTTTTTTTCGGACTCGCAGACTGGAATCTTGTCTACTCGTCCAAAGAAACAGTACTTTCCGGACTCCTCACGCAATATACTATTTTTGATGAAAAAACTCGAAAAATTGATGGAATTCCGATGACAAAAATGTGAAGTAAATGTGACATTAAAAATTTAAAAATGGTTACGCATTGGCATTTTTATGGCAAGAGCGCCGGGTAAATTTTTTTTCTGATTGCTATATCGACTTTTAGGGGGTAGGCCGAAAATGAAGCATTTTGCGGACTGGAATGAAACCGTAAAATAGACATTTTGGAGAGCTAACACGACTGAGATTGACAATTGACAATATTGACACGAGTACTAGGAGTCGGAGGACTGACTGAAAAGAAATCTGTAAAGATCGATATTACAGTTTTATGTTTCGGTTTAAAATCGCCAAAGCGAATATTGCTTGGGGGGCGTAAAATGATTTTTTTTTTTTAATTTTCTTGTATGTTGTGTCCAAAAAGCGGCAGGACACGCCGGGCCCCTTTGGGGCCCGGGCCCTTGTGCGCGGCACGACTTGCACGCCCTGTTGCTACGTCCCTGCCCCTTCTAGTATGTTACTACGCTCACTACTAGTTATTTCTGCTTCGATTGTATTCTCCCTATTTTCTTAATTTATGCCTTACATCATTACAAACAAGCACCATAGTGAATTTAAAAACACATTTCTTAAAATTTAAGCCTCCATACGCTGCCACTGGTTTTCTTTGCCTTTATCAAGTGACCAAGAATTTAAGAAAGTAAAAATTGACAAAAAACAGCTATTATTTTCATAGCAACGCAAGATATTAATGTGAAAATTGCAAAGACGTCGACAGGTTTCAATCTCGACATTTCAGTAATTTTCCTATACGTCATGATTTCCAGATTCTTCGGTGAATTGCTCAAATTTTGCATGCTGATATATTCCCTGTATATAAGAAAGCTTCGGTCAGAAGCGGTTCCGCCGCCACTGAAAAAAGTATAAAGATTGGGCTCTCGATCCATTACTGGTATGAGAATCACAATCGGAGCTTTTCAAATATATTGATATTTTGAGGGGCCCTACTTCATTTTGTCTTAGTTTATTTCCGTATTATTTTACAAAGCTCCATTGTTTCAAATTGTAAAATTCAATTGACAAAGCGAAAACCATTATGGAAAAAATAATGTTAACTATTTTATGCTAGCACACAGAAAAATTAAATCGAAATACAAAAAAAAAATAGTTTAAAAAACAGAGTGAATTAAGTAAAGGAACCTTTGCTGAGCTGGTGAACACCAATGTAAAATCTTTGTTCCAAGTATTTATAACTAGAATAAAAAACATAACACTTGACCAAAAATCAATGGATTTATTTTTCTCTTCCCGGCCTAAATGACTTTCGTTCTTTCGAAATCCTCCTTCAGTTCCAAGGAAAAGTCCACTCCATACTTGAAACAGACTCCTCCTTATCGAATCTCACGGTGTCCTGCTTTTTTCAATGTCATTCGATTCGTCGTTGAAAATTCCATCTTGCATCTTTTCGGTTGACTCCACTACCATGATGTTCACGCCAATGACATCAAAACACAGATAGACCGAACAATAAACAAAATTTTCGTATGACAACATCTATCTGTCTCTTTTGGGTCTTTGTGCTATCCCCACCACTGAGAATGCCAAATTTTGTCTTGAAACCCTAAATAATATATTTTTATCCTTTTCTAATTAACGTTTTCAATTTTACTTCTGAACTCAATTTGGCAACAGCAGATTGTAGCAAAACACCGCCCAGAAGCGGCTTGTTGAATGGCAGGCAGGTGTTTGTTGGAGTAGCTAGCTATCTTTATCGCAAACAGGGATTATTTATTAGCGTTAAATAAGAAACGACCGATACGATATTGGTACTCCCAGAATAAAGGGCTCGTATCGAATATTTTCAGTTTATTTGTCAATTTGTTATTTTATTTATTCATCCAATTATATTTCGAGATATATTCACGTGTGGGCGGAGTTTTTTACACCATTTTGAGCAATGATGTCTCCCTACCCCGACCCCGCGAGCAACTCACCTCCCCTGGCCCATGGGTGGTCTTGTCAACACAACAAATAACAGTTTATGAATGGGATGATCCGTCTATCTGTGTTTTGATGTCATTGGTTCACGCCTTCTCAATATTTCTCTAGGTTTGCATTCACGTTCGTGTTGTCAATATATCCAATGATAGCTCTTATATAGAGGTGATGCAAGAAGAACATTTCTCTTTTGTTCACTCAGGGACATTTTATTTTTGAGGTCCGCAGTTAAGAAACCAATGAGGTTGTCTAGACATCTATTCGCAATATAAACTCATCTACTATGTCAGCAACTATCACTTCTTCAGTTTGGTTTTGCCCATTCTCAATATATCAAGGTGTTCAAGGAGGTCTCTTCAAAAAAATTTCTTGAATTCCTTCTAGTTGTTTCTAGAAGCGCTTTAATTTTCAACATCATCACAAAATCGTTATTACAAATCGTGTTGTGTCATAGATCTTGATGCCCCTTGTGTCAATGATCAAATCATATTCTTTGCTGTTGAGAGGGTGCCTTAGGAAAGGGCAACGAGAATTTCACAATTCCTCTTGATCGAGAACATTAACATCCGTGATTTAGAAGAAGAAGAAATAAATGGTCGCCTGCGTTCGCCCCCTTAGTTCTGGCGAAATCGCGCATCCCTGATATCTGAAGCCAATTTCATCTTCTGCAACGCGATCTTCTGAATGAAGGTGTCGTCTTGTTAATGTATGTTCTTCGGCTGCAGTTGTAAAAAGTTATTGGTTTTCTGGTGGTTCTCAAGTCGCGGTCTCCATTCGCGCAGTAGGTCTGAAACATCGCATCGTAACATTTTAAAATATCTGCCTCTATTTTCGTGCGTGTTTCTTGGATATCCTTATTATCCATCCCTTAATTTGCTATAAGTGAGAAGCCAACCTCATCATAATAAATGAATGATCACTAAGGCTGCCGTTCCGGTACAATTGTACTGAATTCAGTACAAAATGAGCAAATTCAGTACGTCAGTACAACCTTCTGAAAAAACACCCAATTTCAGTACGAAACTCAACTTCAAATAATGTATTTGTTAAATAAGAAAAATACTATTTAATAATTGTATTCATTTTCTGAAATAAGTTATTGTATTAAGACCGAGATTAAGATATAAATAATCCAACCAGGCTGTTTTGCTATCTAGTTGTTGGAGGAGTAGCTCGCAATTTTAGATTCAAATCTTGACTCCCAGTGTAGCTCTGCCCCGAGCGGAGCGAGCCGAGTAACGACGATGTGACGTCAAGTCAAATGCCATGCCATGATCCATGATTGAAAAATTCGGTAACGTAGAATAAAAAATAAAATAAAAAATTGGGTTTTTATCAATGACATTTACAAAAATAAAGTTAGCTGTCATAACTTGTTGTTGGTTCACCCGGTATAAACTTTATTATCACCAAAAAACAGCCACTAAACTCAAAAATGGGTCCGAGGTTTTTTGAAAAGTATCAACCCTGTATATTTTATGGATTTTATTTCAACCTTTACGTGCTCACTGTATAAATCCACTTTTATACATTCCAATTTTTGAATTTGCTGCTATTCAGTACAATTTTTTCAGATTCAGTACAATTTCTGTTCAATATTCAGTACGCTATCAAAATCGTTCGCGGCAGCCCTGATGATCACAGTATATAGAACATAGGTACGTAGGTGATATCGCCTCTGTAGAGTAAAAAGGGGCCAAGCTGCAATTGAACCATTTTTGAGATAACCGCCATAACATCTTCATATCCCAATTCACGTTGTGTAAAAAGGTGACAAGCGGCACGTACATAAACTCATGTAGACAAGAAAAGTATAAATAATTGCAAATAAATAATAATTTCCAAAATTGCCGTTTTATTCGAGGTTTTCTTGATTTTCTCAACAATCTTGTATTTGGCACATGACCCCTTCTTGCTCTACAAGGGCATATGAATAATGGCTTTTAATAATTATTTGTATACCAAGGCCGCGAAATGCCTTTTTAGCGTACGTAGAGAAAAGTTATCGTTGAGGCCGCTTGCGGCCGAAGCAAAATAATCTCGGAGACGCTAAAAAGTTTCCGGTCATCGTATACTACTATGCACAAGAAAAGTACATATTTAATATACTTACTTATTATTAGTGATATAGATGAGAATTTTGAAAGTTCAGTATCTAAATGGGAATGAATCAGGAAATTTACAATATGCTAACTAAATACATAATGTCATATTATATAAGTCTTGCATGTTACTTTACTGGCGGTCCAATTATAAAGGCACTTATACCAACCAAGTACTCCTACAAAAAGTCAAGCCTAACCTAACCTATTTCTATAGAAAGAACCTGATTGAATCAACCCTACATATATTAAAAAAAAACTGAAGCAGATTAGCTTACCAGTACAATTCCGTTTATGTATTATATCATAAACAATGGTGATCATCCCCAAGAGATGGATCGAATCGGCACCAATCCGGAAGATATTCATTTTTATTAACAATATAACGCTGTTCCTTGCACAATAACTAGTTGCACTGATAAGTCGGACTTATTTTTTTCACTTTATACTTAGAAGCAATTAATATTGCATTGTACATGGATAAGAGCAAATGCGAATGCTGTACCTACGGAATTTCCCATTGACCACTGATAAATTTAATAGGTAATAAATACAAAAATAGGTTCCCCTCTGTGGCTGTAACTGTGTAGAATATGCGCGTTAAAATAATGAATTTATCGAATTTATGGCTAGTAGAGAGCTACTTCAGAAAATTTTCAACAACCGTAATTCAAAATCAGGGATAAAATTCTATAAGTGAACTTGAGGGATTTGGAAAATAAATAAATAGGTAGGTTATTATTATATGTACACCTATACAGCCTAAGTACAGGAGGAACAGAAGTTCAAGAAGTTGGCACTCAACTTTTACTTTTACAATTTACAGATACCGTAATAATGCAAGTGGATTGGCCTATATGTAAAGTCACTGGAATATATTTATAACCATCGAGCTTTTATAACTACATATGAGATGCCTGCTTGCAGAGGATAACCTTGGCCTTGCAGCAGGATTTCCCAGAATAAAATAAATTCTAGTATTTCTAGTTAAGCTTGGTAAATACATAATTTAAATAAAAAATACAGGAACTATAAACGGAAAAAAACTAAAAGTTTGTGCAAAGAAAAAGATATTAATTTCTAGCTGTATAAAATTCTCCAAATAGGTATGAAACTGGCCGGTGATCTAAATAAATCAAGTCTAACCTGGCTAACAATTCCTTATTAGAACAATTCTAGCAATCCTCTAAGTTCATGCAACATTTTTGAGCCAGGGAAGTGTCTGGTGTAATAGTAAATTCCTCTAAACTCCTTAGCGTTACAGTAGGTTTTCTCTAAAGCCAATACCTACCGTTCAAATGTTTTTTTGATAGGATTTTTTTCCGACGTTGTGTTACACTGAAGCTAATTCATCTAGGGACTCCGTCGAAAAATTGCCTCCAAGTTCTTGTTTGTATCTGTTGAGGGCTTTTCTGTTATCTATGTAGCCTGCCCAGTTTCTAAAAGTGTTCGCCTTGTGGAACATTTTTCTAGCCTCTGTTTTTAGACGCTTTAGTTCCACATTCCACCAAGGCACATCCCTGTGAGTAACTCTTAGTTTACGGGGCAGCATTTATTGGGTAGCGTTTGTGTCGAAATCGAGTTTATCTAAACTCAGACAGAGCCCAGAGACTCTCTACGAAGGAGTACAGGTTGGTCAGTTTTCGTTTTCGCCTATCTTTCTTAGTGGTATCATTTGCCTCTAAAGTCAAATCTTATGGTTTGATGGTCAGTGAGGGTTCCTTATTAATATGCGCCAATTGGCAATGATAATGTCTACATTATGGTACATTATTCGAGTTCAAAAGATGCCAAGTCTTGGGATATGAATTCTGAAACAGGTTTTAGTTTATTGTCGAGCAGTAGAGCTGCTTGGTCTGTCAAGTTTTTCTGCTGTAGACCAGTCTAGTGGACTTGATGTTGAGGTCTCTAATTTGGTTTCCACTGATCCAGAGAGCGCAACACTCGAAGACGTCATACTCCCAGTCGAGGATACACAACAGAGTGAGAAGGAATTCGAGGTAGGTTGTTTAGGCGGTCGCCTAAAATTTTTTACCCCTTACTGGGAAGGCATTACCAACAACCCTTTTGTATTAGACTGGGTTAGAGATTATAGATTGCTATTCATTAATTTACCTAGTCCTAAAGATTGTAAATCTGTGAAGGGTCAGTCCCAGTCGAATCCAGACCTCGTTCAGCAATGCATTAAGGAATTACGTGAGAAGGTGGTTATAGAGAAGGTACCAGAGAGAAATTGTCATTTTTTTATCACCTCTTTCCTTAATTGAAAGACCGAATAAACAACCCAGATTTATTCGCAATTTAAGGAAACTAAATACCTTCATAAAGCAGGTTCATTTTAAGATGGAAGGTCACAGGACTGCATTAAAGCTGGTTCAAAAGGAGGCTTTCATGTGCACAATTATTGACCTGAAGGATGCCTATTATGCAATACCTGTACAGGGTGGGCCAATTTGGACACTTTTAATAGGAAATATCAATTTCTGAGCGAGATACAAGAAAATTAAAATTTCATGAAATTTTGATTGGTGCAAACCGCATTTTGATATCATCAACCGTTTAGCCGCTACACGGCGATTCTCGATTTTGAGCAATAATGTGAAACCATCATAACTTTTTTGTTTATGAAAATTATTGATTTCCGTAAAGACTTTCTAGAAGCACTTTTTCAAGCAGAATTCAGTCACGTTTTCAGTTTTTTTCTAGTTCGTCCCAACTCCGAGATATTGACCAAAGTCTGGTTTTTTTCAACAGGACACCCTATATATTAATAGCTCATTAGAAAGCTCTGCTTTTTCTGATTTCAATGATATAATGCATTTAAAATTCTTTTGATAAAATAAGCTCGGACTCATTTGATTTTGAAATTTTTTCTGGCTCTTCTGGCTCATAGCGGCTCTCAATCAACTCATGGTTGGTGGTCTTTAGAAGATCAATTTGAACATATACATTTTTTGGAGCTGAAAAGTGCTTTTTCCTACAGCCGTGCGGAAAAATCGATTTTCCGCACTGATATGCGTGCGGAAAATGAGTTTTCCCACACGGTGCGGTAAAAATTTTACCGCACGCATATCAGTGCGGAAAAAGTTTTGCCGCACGGCTGTCAGTGCGGAAAAAGTTTTACCGCACTGATCTGTCAAAAAAAAAAAGAAAAATTTTACATTTTTACGCCTGTAGGAAAAATATTGTACCTAACACTTGCGGAAAATATTTTTCCGCACTCGGCTGCTTCACCGAACTCCGCTACGCGTCGTTCGGTGAACGGCAGCCGCGTGCGGAAAAAATCATTTTCCGCACTTGTTAGGTAAATAGCTATTTTGATTGCTCTCAAGTGTTTTGCATCAGACTTGAAATCTGTGGGTATTTTACTTAGTAGATAATGCGACCGCCATTTCGTGTATAAGTTAATAGAATGGGAAGTGTAAAATACCCAAAATTGTACTTTTTAGCTTTTAGCTCGACAGTTATGACAGTGGTGTGAGAGAAAGGATATATGTGTCCATCCTTCTTATATGATCCCTTCTGCTTGTAACTTTATAGCTGATTTTGAGTCAAGATCTCTGCCATCAGAGAGCGAGTATGAGGTACTCTAAAAGATTTTTAGAAAAATTGTTAGGATTTTTGGGGAACCACAGATGATAGATCTTTTCACATCCTATTTAAATAGAAAGTACGCTGTGTACGCATCTTTTCTTCCTGATCTAGAGTCTTATACAGTTGACGCGTTCACCATATCTTGGAGAAATATATATATTTTTATGCTTTCCCTCCTTTTTGTTTTATATTAAGGGCATTGAATAAAATTAAGAAAGAACAGGCAGAGGGAATAATGGTAGTAACAAGATGGGAATTTCAACCCTGGTACCCTTCCTGGAAAACTATGTTAACTGATAACCCATACCTAATAGTTTTTCATCCAGTTGATAATCCGATTATTTTTCCTTTTAGCATCCTCAGCCCTCCTGCTTGTTCCCTGGAGGTATAGGCAGATTATCTGGCAAGCTCTGTTGTTAAAAGGAAATCCAGAAGAATCAATCCCAATTCTCTTAGTATCTATAAGAATCAACTCTAAAGTGCGAGAGCGCATACAGGTACTGGTGGGATTTTTGCCAGGAACAGAAGCTGGATGTGTATGAGGCTGGAGAAAAGGAAGTACTACTATTTTATACCGTTCAGCTTTATCTTTAATTCTAAATTTTGATATATATGATGTCGTCCCAACATCAGGCGTTTTTTAAAGGGGGTGTTTAGGCGTTACAATTACATATGGGATGCTAATGTAGTCCTAGACTACTTGGAAAAGAAATTTCCCAATGATGTCATTTTCATAGTGAACCTATACAAGAAGACTGCTACTGTAGGTACTTGCTTGGTTTTTTCCGCACGCAAACACTTATCCGAAGTCCGCTTCGCGTCGTTCGTATAACTGTGTTTGCGTGCGGAAAAGTAACACTTTGCGCACTTGTTAGGAAAATAACTATATCGATATCAACGAAACTTGGTAGAGTTGATATTCTAACCAAACGCCATTTTTATGCATTTATGACAAGTTTTCCCGACTTCCGGTTTCACCGGAAATGACAGCAACTTTTGATTTTTAAATGGCACACCCTGTATATTTTTTGTTTTTCGGATTCTACAGATCATTTTACATCCTAATGCACCACTTTTGATTCGATTTTTGTCCAAATTTTATTTTTAAATTAAATTTTATTTTTTTAACTAGAGTGCCATGATCATCCTAAAATGACTACATCACATACTTTATAGTCTGGCTAGCGAAACGGCGAACTGCAAAAGAATTTGCTACTTTGCCAAACTTGACGGAAATAATGATAAACACGTTGATGACATATTTTTTTTTGCTATATGGGCATGTGTAGTATTTCGAAATAGAAAAAAATCCGGCAACATTGCGAAATGATGGATGTGGAGAGGCGTGATTATTCAGAGGTATGATTCTATTGGTTAGAGTTTGAACGACAGCACGCAGTGGCGCGGTTATTCGCGAAACTAAAGAATTTTTTTCTAATAATTTTATTGGTTTATTTCCTTGGTGTTTTTGGTGCCACTGAACCGAAAGACATGGCTGTCATCAGGTGATGTCAGTTAAGGTGTCAGTGAATATTTTTAGGTCACGCCCCACTTTTCTTCCCCCTTTCGTCTCTACCAAGTTACCACTTGCCAGACTATACTTAATTTCAGAAAAATACAAACTCAATTTTATCTTTGTAAACTTTTTTGATAGAGGGCTGTAAACTCCATTATTTCAGTATTTTTGCCCTAGCTCCAAAAGTAGAATAGAAACATATCACTTTCATAACATTACTAAATACAGTATTTTAAAGCGAATCCAATGATATAATACA